TAGCAAGAATTCCAAAAGTCCCCTTGAGATAACTCAAGTCCTTAGAGTGTTATAAACCCAGGTTTGGGAGGCCTAAGCAGAGACAAGGGAAATATGTGGTGGAAAAACTCTCAGGTTTAAATTAATTTCCTCAGTAAGCCTTGGGAAAGGCGCAAACAAGGCGCGACCAGCAGAGAAACGGTAAGTGGGAGCCGGTGGAGGGGTCTAGAATGAGATAATCACCCTCCACACAGGCTGGCTGAACTGCACTGACCGTTCTGGGTGACTCATAACAGCAGCATCAAGCTCAGCATCTTCCAAGCTGTCGATAGTCAATAAATATTCACAAGATGAGACACTAACACAGGCAGAGCAAAAGGAAACACAGTGCACAACTCCCACAGTTTTGCTTTTCAAGTCTTCCGAAATGACAGTAAGTTAAACTACTTGGTGAGAGGAAATCTTATTTGGAAGGATGACTAAACATATTTAGCACAGATATTTGTGTTCTTTCAGCCCCATAAGTAAAGACACACTTACATAAATACAAGGCATATTAAAGTGGGCAAGTCAGGACAAAATTGCAGTCCTTCAAATACTTCCGCAAAAGTGATGACTTGGGGAAATTACTGGCCAGGTCCTGCTAAAAATCGGCGTCATTAACTGCTCCCACCCCTGACCTAAAATAACCTGACCTTTGGTGACAGTACATTAACTGGCCAGTCATTGGCGTTGTTACCTCGGAGTGGTAATATTTCTCAGAAAATTTTAAGAACTGGTGTACTTTTTCCTTTTTTTTTTATCCTCACCGAGGACATTGTTCCATTTTTTGTTCAGACAGAGCGGGAGGGAAAGAGAGGAAGAGATAGAGAGAGAGAAACATCGACGTGAAAGGGACACATCGAGTGGCTGCCACCCACACAACCCAACCAGGGCCGGGGACAAACTGCAACCGAGGTACATGCCCTCAGCGAAAACCGAACCCGGGTCTCTCTGGACCGCAGGCCGGCGCTCTAACCGCTGAGCCAAACCGGCCAGGACAGAACTGGTGTATTTTTTTACAAACACATAATAAATGCAATTTTGACTTTTACACACGACAAATTAAACAACGTATTTGACAAAAGGCCTTGGGGTTTACATTCATTGTGTGGCTTGTTGGGTAGCAAAACTTTTCTAGTTTAACTTGGCTTATAAATTCACATACAAACGTGAGCTATGTTTTTTGTCTCATCATCTAGTGTTATTTTCTCAGCACCTCAGCAATAAAAATATTGCCGAGTCTTCTTTTCTTTGCAAGTTCCATCATGAAAAAAATCCTGGGTATACTAAAGAATCCACTGCCTGCTAATGAAACAGAGAGACTTGTGAAAACATGGCACGTACTCAAGGAGACTAGTTTGTTTTAAATATTTTAACAGTGTGCACTGCTGCACTGGGAACTAAATGTGCATTATGCCCAACATCACATCCAGCGTGTGTTCTACTTTGATCATTCTATCAAAAGATCAAAATTTAAATATTATGTAAATTATATTGTATACATGTTCTCCTTTGCATGAAATCAAATAGCAAACTTGTTTCTTCTCTAAATACAAACAAGCATGAAATTTAAACTGAAGAAAATACTCACTACATTCCATTTTTTAAAATGCCCTCAGGAATCAATTAAAATAAAAAGCCTTTGTATTTTTTTAACATAATCCTAAATGTCTATGTTTATGCTTTTTTAATTTTTGCATATTTTTAGTATTTATTGTAAAGGTTCTTAAGTTAAATATATATGTTATTTTCATAAGAAATGCTATGTAAGTCCTCTTCCTGAAAACACTCAGAGGTCAAATAAATCAACAGAAATGACAGTGGAAATTAGAGAACTAATATTCAATATTCAATAATCAGAAAAGTTGTCAATTTATAACAACTAAATGTAAGTATGAACCTTGATTGGATTTTGGGTTTTGAGAAAACAGCTATAAAAGACATTCTTAGGACAGTGGGAGAAATGTGAACATAAACACAATATTAGGTATGAAATTTCTGTTAATTTTCTCAGGTGTGATAATGGCTCTGTGGTTCCTTAAGAAAATATCCTTATTCTTAGTGCATGCATGATGACATTCTTAGGGATGACATATCTTGATGTATGAAACTCACTTGATGCATGAAACTTACAAATGAACCAACAATAATAAAAGGACTTGTACATATAAATTGATGAAAATAGGAAGCAAATATGGAAAAACATTACTAACAGTTGAATCTCAGTGGAGGGTATACAGATATTCATTGTATTCTTCTTCCAACCATTTTGTGAACATGGAAATTTTCATACTATAAAGTTGCAGGGAAAGGAAGAATAGTTGTTTTCACTTAAGCATGCATGTACATTGATGCCTGGACCAAACTAACTACAGACAAAATGCTGCTTTACATGGCCATAGAATGTTTCATTTTTCAGTAGCAATATGCTTCAGAGAATCAATTTCCCACCACTGACCCAGGAAAATTATGGCAGCCCTCCTGGCCAAGACCACAGGGAACAGCTGATTGACCCACACCACCTAAATTAGAGCAGGGCATCAGGATCCCCAGAGGGTAATCTGCTCTGACAAGCAAGTTTGCATGGCAACCTGTGCCCTTGGAAAAATAAAGGGTTGAGAACAGGGGCTTGTAGGCAGGAACCTTCACAGCAGACAGAAGCCTCCAACTTAAGTTCCGTTCTCTGGAGACAGCATATGACATGATGTTAAAGGTAAATTAAACAAATTTAAACCATCAACTCTATTCAGCCACTAATGATGAATTCCAGTCTTCCCCTGTCTCTTTACTCAATAAAGTAGACTACCAGGTTCAATATTAAGCAAAAAAAAATCTGAGATGCTACCCCAAAATTCAAACTAAACCAAATAACAAAGTTCTGGAATTATATGAGAAATTTCAGAGAGAAAATGTGTAAGCACTTGATTTACAGATAACTGAAGTGTTAACTCCCTTTCCTAGCTATAAAAAGAGGGGTTTGGGGAGAGTGGGGACCCAAATCACAAAGGTTCTGGGCACTAGTTCACTGTTAGGTCAGAGTGCAAACCAGTCATCCATGACTTGCTGCAGAATCTAATATTCTTTTTCATTGAACCAGACTGAATCTAAGAAGGAAACACTGGATTTTCAACAGGCCCAATGCAATCAGACTCCACCTCAGTTGTACCTCTTTTTTCTATGGTTTCATTTTTATCTTTTCTTTTTCTCATTCAATGTAATATGTGTTTATGTTATGTTATGTTATGTTATGTTATGTTATGTTATGTTATGTTATGTTATGCAATTGTTCTCTCCTTTTCTTTTCTTCCTCTGCTGTCTTTCCTCTTCCCCTCCCATTCCTCCAGGCTACTAGAGCCACTCAAAGGCATTGTTAGCACCAGGTTAAACTTCAGGCTGTGGAGCTATAAAGAGTCCTGGTGCAGCCCATAAAGCCTGATCGACTCAGGCCAGGAGCTAGAATACATACAGGAAGAATGGTTCGCTTTCCTTTAACCAACGAACCATTATCCTGTTTATGGGTTGTCGGGGACCCTTTCCCTTCTAGTTACTGCTGTCTGCCTTTGATCTTTAACCAATCATTTATACCTCTCTTTAAGAGAAGCAGGAGACCATGACACTGAAATCTCATTTTGCTACACATTATCCCAGCAAGAGGCATGGCAGAGGACTGAAAACATCAATAAGTTTGGGGAATATCTGTGGACTTCACTTATACAAGAAAGTCCTCAATTCTGTTCAATGTCCTCATTTTCTGATGTTTTCAGTTTTTGTTCTATATGTAAGCATTAAGCTAGGACTGGAAGAAAACACAAAGAGATTTTTTTTAAGTTCCTCACCAGCGGTATAAACACATTATATTTGTTTAACAAAAATGTAGTCTATGATAACACACTCCTATGAGTGAAGCATGAATTAACCATGGGGACTCCATCTCCAGGCGACCTGAATGAACCTGCCTCAAGAACTCTGGGGAGAATGAATCTTTGATGACAATATTCCAGCCAAAAGGCAAGCCAGCTCCTCTGCCTCCTCCAGGTCCATAGGTCCCACAGGGACCTGGGAAGAAGGTTCAACAATCAGAGCCAAGGGCCCACACTTGAAAACAGTCTGGGTGGGAGGATGCTCACAGCAGTGGTGAAACACATGCCTTAGGAGGGCAGGGTAGCCATTTGGAAACACTGGCCAATGTTTAACCATTTGCAGCCTCTAAAAGTGATCTGAGCCACTTCCTGAGGCTTATCCTCTCCATGCTTCAATTTCTTTATCTGTCAAATGGGGATAATAATAGTCATAGGATCTGTAAAGATTAAATGAGTCAGTACACTTAAAGAGCTTAGAACAGGGCCTAGCACACGGTAAGCACTGTATAAATGCTAACTAATTGCTATTATTATAGGCTAGAAGCACACCTACAGAAAAGCCTGCAAAGAAAGCTTACCTTTTTTAATCCCCACCAACAGATGTACTACTAACCAGCAGGAAATACCCTCGTCTCAATTCTCTGGTTTCCTGTTTAAGCTCCAGGATCTATGGAGTGGTCTCAGCTATTCCGAATGAGCGAGACTTCTTTCCATAGCAGCTAGGTTTCAATATAAAATCGCAGTATGGCAACATCATATGATTAAAAATGGAAACTGACATGTGATTAAAATGGAAATCTATCTGACATGTACTTCAGAGCCCACACATTTGCAGTGTGTAAGTTCTGCAGCTTCTAACAAATGTCCCCAACACTGCAACACTGTGACCCTCAAAAAAACGAAACATTTAGTCGATGACACAAATTACCCTACACTAGAAAGTCAAATGCAATGACCTTCAACCAAGTACATGGCCCCAGAGTAAATGGCATAAACAGGTAATTGGCTGCTGCCACACCTGGGCGACACAGTGAGTCCATTCTTCCGAACAGGTAGAACCACTCACTTTTATGCATGGATGCTGTACCACAGCTGGCATGCCATTTTGACAATACTTACGCATTACAATAGGGCTTCTTTTCATAGCCTTTGTAGTTGTTCATGTTGAGAGCCATCTTGCAGACTTCACAATGGAAACATCCTTTATGCCAATACTGAAAAAAAAATTTTTTTTCAATTTTAGTACAATGCCAGTTCTTTCCAAGATGGGTACAAAAAGGAGATTTTTTTTTAGTACATCCCAGTCCACGCCTGTATTTGAAAATACTACAACAAAATGATGGTGGGTAACAGTGGATGTGTTTGCCTACTTTCAGTTAAGAATATAAAGCCGCAGCTATTAAAACTGAGTTTGAGATTAATCCCCACCGCAACGTGCAGACGCAGATGGAAGAGCTCTGTGCATACTGCACTTCTGTGAGCAGCCAGATGGAATTCCCAGCTTAGTTAATGGAGAAATGGAGCCTGTGGAGTGGCTCCAAAACGACTCCAGTTCAAAGGGCCTAAACACCGTGTCGGTAGGATCTCACAAATAAACAGTCCACAGGAAGGCAGGTAACCCGCCGAGGCAGGAGGCGGGCGTAAGTACCCTTCGCCCCCGCATCCCTGTAGTTTCCACTACGTTTCGGGAAAGGTGGACTCTGTCCGAAATGACTGTCAGGATAACGGGCGTACACTTGTGAGGCATTTTTGACACCACACGCAGATTTCACTGGGACCTCCGCCGGCTGGTTTCAATTGCCAGGCACTCAGGATAGCTCAGGAGTCTGTCTCCCAGGCTGTTCAACTCCATCCACGCCCGGGGAGGGCCTGGAGCAGGGCTGTGGGGACCCGGCTAAAAGCCACTTCCTTAGGAATTCCCCAACCGGATGGATTAGCCCCGGCGAGTCCTGCCCGCCGCGCGGGGGCCCGGGCTCTCGGGGGGATTATTCTTAGCACTGCGGCAGTGGCCGCCGCTGACATATTAATTACTATTTGCCTCCACCTCGCCCGCCGGCCTGGGAGGCACCGGACGCGGGTAGAGAAGTCGGGGCTCGAGTGGGTCCTCCAGGTGGCGGGTGCGGGGAAGTGAGAAGCAGGAGTGGAGGTGGGAGGGGGCGCGGCTCGCCGATCGGTCCCCGGTGCCCCGCTAGGCTCCCGGGCCCGGGCTGCGCTCCGCGATGCGCGCTCCGCCGCAGCTCTGCCGAGGCCAGCTCAGCCCCGCACCCTCGCCACCCGCACCCCGACAAAAGCCTCTCCCGGTTCCAATACCACTGCCAAGCGTACTGACACTCCCGCGGGCGTTTTCCTTCGCGTGCCCACACCCGAAGCCAAGAACACACAAACACCCAGACCCACTCGTCTCTTTCCGTCCCAGATGCCAAAACTTCTCGGAGCAGGTGCAGCCTGGCGCCCCTCGCTCACCTTATCCAGGCAGTTGACTTTCTCCGTGGGATACACGACTTTTCCGCAGCGGGCGCACTGAGGGTTCATTGTCGCGGTTCCCGGGGACGGCGGCGGGGCGGCGAAGGCTGGGGGCTCCGAGGAGCCGCTGTGACATCCCCCGGCGAGCCCCGCACCGCCTCGGGGCCGGCGGGAGGGCGGCGGGCGGCGGGCACCGAGGTCTGGAGTGGGCGCTGGGCCAAGGGCGAGCCGGCCGCGCGGCGCGCGCAAAGGGCGGAGAGGGCGCGGGTGGGCGCGCGGCAGGGCCTGGCGCCTGGGGGCGGCCGCGCTCTCCGGATCCTGCTCGGCTCCGGCTCGGGCTGCGCGCCGCTCGCTCTGCGTCGCTAGCACCCCAGGTACCGGTGACTCACACAGACATTCGCGCCCGCCCCTCGCTCTCACTAGCTCCCCCGCCTCGCCGCTGCCACCGCCGCTGCGCAGGCCAAACCCACCGGCGCGCCCCGAACCGAGTGGCAGGGGACGAGCACGTCGGGCACCGAGGAGGGAGGGCAAAGCGGGGGAGGGGGAGGGGGAGAGGGAGGGCAAAGCGGGGGAGGGGGAGGGGGAGGGGGAGGGCAGGGCACCGGAGAGCTCCGCAGACTCCGCGGGCTGCGACTGCGAGGCCTGGGAGCGCGCCTAGTGCCGCAGCCGGGGGCGGCCAGGTGGGCGGTGGCAGAAAGGGGAGCGGTGGGGGATGAGGAACGGGGGGCTCCAACCCGTGTGTTCCCTGTCATTCTTCATCTTTTCTGCCACAACCGGGTCACCCCCACTCCCAGGCTAATGTTCCCGGTACCCAAAGGGCACGGGGTGAGCCCGCCTTTCTCCTTCAGCCCCGGGACCGGGAACAGAGGCGCCCCAACGCCCTCTCAGCGCCCAGTCTGGGGCAGAGGCTGTCCAGGCGGCGCTCAGCCAGCCCTCGGGCCCGGGAGCCGGGAGACCCGCGGGGAACCCGACTTATGTCCCCGCGGCGCCGCAGATGGCACAGCGCCCGCTCCCACGGCCTCTGCGGAGAGGAAGCGTCCCCAGAGTACCTGCGTGAATTCCCTGGGCCCAGATGGGAAAGAGCCTTCTGCTCCCCCTGGCTCCCAGCCCCCGCACTTTTTATACCTCTTCTTGGAGAGTGGTCGTTTTAGGCCGGAATCAAGCCTTTCTTGATTAATAAACGGTTATCGTTCATTTTGTTGTGTGTGTGTACAAACTCATGGTTCCAACCACAAGCGCCAGAAAATCCAACTGAAAGCTGAAGGTAGGGTGGAACCAAACGGAATAGACATCAGTTTTTAGTTTCAGTAAAATCTCAGGTTATTAGAGTCTCTTTCTTAAAGGCCACAAAATGAAGTTAGACAGCCTGAGTCCAAAGCCCACGCCAGTTATTTACTAGTCATGTGCAAATACGTAGCCTCTCTGTGCCTCAATTTTCTAATCTACAAAATGGGGATAACAGGGCTACAAAACAACTCCTACCCTCCTACTGTGAGGATTAAATGAGTCAGCGGTTCTGCAGTGTTTCAATCTGCCTGGCTCAAGCTACCCAGATAGGCTTATCATGAGTTACAACAAATAAACACATTCCATTGCTAGCACACAAATTAAGACTCAGTAATATCACGTGGCAACTACTGTGACAAATATTTTTGTAGGTTCTTTTTCAATCGTAGCTGAGGCCTTTCATGAAAAAAGGAAACTTGATTTCTGGGCTTCTTAGGCAGGCTGCACTGTTAAGTGTCATTCATAATGAGGCTGTGTTCTTCGACTTTTCAAAAGAGATAATTTCTTAAAAGGAATACACCAGTGCAACAACTACTCATAGCTCTGCTAACCAGATCAACTCAAAAGCAAATAAAATACTAATTTGCTGTCAGAGAGGATTAGTTGTCACTTTTTTTATTGTTTTTTTTAGAGAGAGAGAAATGATTTGTTGTTCCACTTATTTATGCATTCATTGGTTGATTCTTGTATGTGCTCAGACCCGTATCAGGACGATGCTCGAACCATAGGAGCAACCCTGTCAGGGCCAGGATGGGCTGTCATTTAAAAACACTTCAGAGCTATTTAGAAATGCCTCAGACCATGGATGAACCTGGAGGATTTTATGCTAAGTGAAATAAGCCAGACACAGAAGACAAATACTGCATGGTATCACTTCAGAAAGAATAGGTTGAACTCATAGAAAGTTTTTTTTTTAATGGTTGGCAGGAACAGGGAGGTAGGGAGATAGGAAAAAGTAGGTAAAAGGGTACAAACTTTCAGTCATAAGATGGATAAGGTCTGAGGATCTGAAGTAATGTGATGACTATAGTTGATAACACTGTTTCATATCATTAAAATTTGCTAAGACAGTAGAACTTAAATGTTGTCACTAAAAAGTAAATATGTGAGGTGATAGATGTGTTAACTCGTGGGGTAGAAACCTTTCACAGTATACGTGTATCGAATCATCATCTCGTATATTTTAAATATCTTACAACTTTATTTGTCAATTAAACCTCAATAAAGCTGGGGAAGAAAACCTACATTGGATATTTATTTTAAAAGAAAATAAATGCCTGAGAATAAAGTATTTATATGGTCACCTGAAAGACTAAGTTTTTTCAGCATTTAGATTTTCATAACTGTAAATGATAAAATGTAGTTTAAAATCCTATTCTCTTTTTTCAGTGGTAAGCAAAAATTCTGAGAAAGAATGATGGTGATATGTAACATCTATAACCGGTTTCTTAGCCAACCAGCACCTATCACAATGTCTGACAAATAGTAGATACTAATTAAATATTTGTTGAAAGAAAGTATGAGTAAAATAAATGACTATATTAAAATTGGAATTAACTGTGATGTTTTCTCTCAAAATAAACAATGAATGCTCTAAGTTACATTTTTCTCTCATATCTGTTTCTCTTACTATTTTCATTTTCTGCATTAAGCCAGCCTCTAAGTTTCTTAGTGACATTTCACTGATGTAAGAAGAATTTTAATGCCATCTGTCTTAAAAGGATTTCTTTATTTCAAAATTCAAAGTACTGTAAACAGAGAATTGGCAGAAACCTGTCATCTGGCCCAGCCTTTCTCCTTCAAGCAGATGAATGGTTTAATTATCCACTCGGGAGACCTTTGCCCCTTTCATGTCTTTTTCACTTGACTAGTCAAGAAATCGTTCCTCATGGAAACTATACCCCAATATCTCCACTTTATTTAAATCCTTTCCTGCTGGCTTGGGCATCCACAGATATAAAGAATAACTTACCATCATGAAAACATTTATATCATTATACATTTACATTTTTTCTTTAGCTAAAATTTCCAAATCTGTTTACTCTCACCTCTGGGGTCTATTTACAGAGAACCTTCTAATGACCTTATAATCACTTTTATTATTTACGCTACATAAATTGAACTCCAAATTAAAAGCTTTAAAGAATCATTAGTATTACAAAAGGCCAAATAGTGGTGTTGACAAACACTGGACTCAGATTGTGGTGGATTGTATTATTGGTTCACAATTTTTTGTTCCACCCTGGCAAGACTCCCTATAGGCAGGTTATATTTCCCCCACACGGTGACACTGAGATTAATAGTGTGACTTCCCTTGCCCAGTGGAATTCGAGTGCACATGGCAGATGTCATATCACAGCAGAATTTTAAGGGACTTGCATAGTTTGCCTTTGTTCTCGCACCCCCTTGAGCTCTGGCACCCAGCCATGAGAAGAGCATATCTCAGGGAGTGGCTGCTTCGTTGACTTTTGTCCAAGAATTCAAAGACCTGTCTAGCCAGTAGAACCTAACTGAGCTGGGCAAGCCAGCCATGCCCAGCAGAGCTGCAGCCAGCCCGCAGCCCTCACCTCATGGGAATAAGAAATCATTGTTTTTGTAAACCACTGAGATTTGGGGCGTTGTTTGTTACTGCAGCAAAAGTTGACTACACCAATAATGAGAATTGAAGAGAAATGCTTCCTACCTCATCAGCAACAAAAAACGAATGAATTTACATACAAGATTCAGTATGGGTAGAGTTTTTTGGTTTTTTGGTTTTTTTATACTTTTCTGAAAAGGCATGCTGTTAGAAGTGTAATGACCAATAAAGCATAGCTATCGTTATTAATGAAATATTCATTTTTTCATTATGCAAAGTTTTATTATGTGACTTCTATTGGCCAGACATTGTGTGAAACTGTGTACATTTTTGCCAGTTGGCACAAATTCGCCAGGGAGGAAAATTTTCCCAGCCAATAAGCTTGATAGGTGAAACTAAAGAAAAATGGTAAATTTGAGTTCACAGTTTTATTTGATAGCTGCAGATGAGCCTTAGGCTAATGAAGCATTTCTCCAAAGATCTTACACACTTCAGAGAAATTATCTCATTTACCATTACAGCACCACTACAAGTCAATGAGAAATGTAAAATTAAAACATTAAGGGATGTTCAAGATTCAGAAGCTGTTCTAAAAACAATTACGTACTTTCATTCATCCATTCAATATACAATTATTGGCAGGCAGGATGTTCAGCACAGGGGGATTAAGACATGATCTCTGCTTATAATAAAATCTAGTGGGACAAATTACAATGCAACGTGATAAATGCTCTAAAATAAAGCTCCTCTCCTGATGCTGAGGAAGAACAGAGAAGGGACTTCTAATTCAGCTAGGAAATCAGGAAAGGCTACCCCAAAAATCAACCAAACTCCTCCCTCTCTACCTAACAAACCCTGTCCGGTTACCCCATCCTGTCAGCTTTCTCCGAAAGAAGCTCATGAATCTGTCTCCGTACCCTCTGCCACTGCCTTAGCTCAGCGGCTTATCATGTCTTCCCTGGATTGTTCTCTAACCCGCTAAGAAGTCCTATCGCTGTACAGGCCATGGAAGAAGGTAGGACTTTGCGCTCCCAGACCTCTCTTGGAGATGTGGCAGACAGGAAACCCATCTCTCTGGGCTAGGATGCCCCCCACCACACCCACAATATTATTTTTCAAAATAAAAATTAACTCATATAAAGCACCAAGTACACAGTGCCTGGCATGCAGTAAGGTCTTGGAAAATGTGTCTAATAATTGAATGACTAGAGTAAAAAATAAATAAAATTGAACTAACTCCTTGATATATTTTCATCCAAATCAGATGGGAGGTGACAAGCATGAAGAAAGGTTAT